AAACAAAATACTATCCACAAAAAAATAATGCAAACCATCCACATCTGACACAAGTTTATGAACATTTTTCAACCATTAATCTGCAAATGCAAAATTCACACAGCTCCTCAGAAAGTGTGTAGCTTTTCCACATCTCCTGGGGATCTGTGCTTTATTAGTCAAAGGTTTAAACCCAGTGTATTCCCCATGAATAATCTCTCTCCCCTACCCCCTCCTTCCTCCTGTCCCCATCTAAATGCAGAATCCCCAGCTTCCTTGTCTTCAGTTTACAGATTATGCGATCCAAAGTGTCACTCACTGGATTACTGCACATAACCTGAGCACTACCCAAAGCTTACTTGTCTTCAACTTGTCCAGCATTACTTAAATGGAATTATCCCTCACAATCCATATACCGAATCTGCATAGCCCACTTATCTCAAGATTCTGTGTGTCACCTACCAGATTATCTGTTTTAATCCATACATTGAATCTACATAACATATGTCTTTAATTCATGGGCTCTGATGAGCTATAGTATCGCTGAATGGATTATTTCTCTTTATCCATTATTGGCAGTTGTAAGACTGTTCACTGCATACTCTCTTGTGCCCCGTCTTCTGAACATATAAGCAAAATTAAGAGTCTTCAGCAAACACAGTTCCATCACACATCAAACACAGCTTGATATAATACCTGCACCAATACTTTGTGCAACTCGGAACCCAGCTGCTCACAAAAACCCAAATGTCTGTGTTATCATGCATTAAAGATTAGGATTGGGAGGGTAATCTTGCCTTCAGTTACACTCGTACATCTGCGGTTACTTCAGTACAATCTTTGGAGTCACCAAGATTTTAGTATATACAACACAGAGCTGACTTTACCCTAATGAAGATCCCTTTCATAGTGAGTGCAGAGAACACTTCACCTGAGTTGTTTAGGAACTAACCTGCACAACAGAAAAGGCTTCTCAAACAACAAAAAAAATTATCAGGTTCAGGCTTGCCTGGTCTTTCTTGAGAGGCTCAGGCACAGTCACTATTAACAATGCCCTCACTTGAACAGAAAAACAACTGGTAAAGATTAGAAACAAAAGGCAGTTTAGTCTTTTGTTCCACACACCTATTCAAAATTAGCTAAGTGGAGAACATATAAAATATGCGTTATTATTTCTTGACAACTCTCGATAAGCCAGAGATAGACAAGATTAGCAGAACGGCTTTGTGTACACTGGGGAAGTTTTAAAAGGAGTTCTCACCATGGTTAAAGCTGCCTCACTCACATCAGTGTCTGCAAGGCTGTGATGCACCTGGGGTCCAGCACTGTCCCCTGAACTCTGCTCAGAGGAAGCCCAACACCATTTGAATAGGAGTCCATGTTAATTTTTTAAGCATAGAGATGGCTACTAACATTGAAGAGCATGGAAATATACTTCTTATACTTTTCCTATCAACATCCCACCCTACACACTGCATCTGCTTTGGAGCAAAGCAACCACTCTCACCCTGCAGTGCAAAGATATCAGGCAGCTATGCTGGAAGCAGAAGTGGGGTACTCTTCTCCTGCCCACAGGTGATCAGTTTGAGACCTGAAGTTCTCTCTGCTCCACTAAATCCAACAAACTGCATTATCCATTAATAATCCAGAGTATAGGCTGACTTGTTTTAAACAGAGTAAAAATTCCATGCATTTCAAAACAAGTATTTCCTAAGAAATCTCCAGTACCAAACCTGCATTATTTATTTAGCTCTAGACTACCTCTCTAAACAGAGGTATTTGAGTTAAAAGTTCTACAGACATGAAAGGTTCTGTATTTTGCCCCACTTTAAGTATACGAGTATTGCCCTGGAGTACCTGTCAGTCAAGCCCTAGAATGACATATTACATTTCATTTTCCATTAGTAACTGGACATGCACAGATCCTTCTAACAGCAATCTTGAAGACTGCAGCTGGACCTCTGCAGATCCTCAGTGATGGTTCTCCCATTTTACAGGCATGCAGATGAAGGGAGGGTTAAAGCAGCTGCTGAAAGTAACAGAACAACTAAGAAGAACAACCGAAATACAAAACGTGAGAGTCTGGTCACTTCCAGCCATTCACCAACTCCCCTATCTTTAATAAAATATTACTCCTTTCTAACTTAAAAGGAATAACACTAATAGAAAATAAAGTCTTCCGCTTCATTTCCCTTTCTTTTAATCTCTCCCAGAGCATAAAACTCAATGGTAATAACACACACTTGGGCATTAACAATATGTAGCCTAGTGCGGAGACTTTAGCACATGACATACTAAAACTCCCCCAGATCTAATGAAAAACACAATGAAATTTTGAACAGTTAAATGGAAAAAACTATTTGGTGCATAAGACAGTTGGGCAGTACAGCTTCTAGTGCTGTCCACATTCCAGGGTGTATTAATAATAAGACACTACTCGTGCGGGGTTTCCAAATATCACTAAGAGAGAAATAAGGAAAAAAAAATACAGCTGCCTGGCCAAATACAGATAGAAGTTAATTAAAAAATCGCAACTGGAAAACTTAATAACTCTACGTTCCTACAGAACAACAAGAAGGTTTTCTAGCATAACACATGTGTGTTTGTGCCCGGGTGAGTACAAAGTGCTCACCTCGCACACCTCTCCCGCTGCCTCACCAACTACAGCTGCAATACAGCTGAGCCATTGTTTGGTGGCCGCTCACGGCTGGCGGTGCCATGAAAACCACATTCCTGGGCACTAAATAATCGGCCTGCCTGACCCCCCAAGAACCTATAAGTCAAATTCATTTACCCCCAGAGTGCAATGCTCTATTGTATCCTCCCTCCTTTCTAGCCACCTAGGAACAATGGACAATAATTGCAACTGTCACGGCAGTCAGTAGGAAAAATAAACCAGTGCCTGTTTTCACAGCTTACTGCCAAACCTGATCCAAACACCTAATAACCATGCCCCCAACCACAGAACCACAGTTGCACTAAAAAGCCTCAGATGTGAGGCTTTTGAACAGAGCTACAGAACAATAACTCGACTTGTGTTCAAAATATGAAGCTAAAAAACAAAAATTAAAGCAAAGCAAACTCTGCTTTGAGGCTGTGCTGTTGCTCCCCATCCTCCCCCCCGGGCAAGACTGAAAGGACTGTTGCATTTCTTTCGTGCTAGCATAGAGCTGCTGCTGCTGCCGCTTTCAAGTTCAGCTTGTGAAAGGGAAATAGAGGAAGAGAGAAAAAAGATTGCCCTCCAACAGAACAAGATCACAGGCACTGGGAACAGACGGCCTTCTCAGCGCACAGCACTTTCAGAGCAGCTTTACTGAGTCCAAAGGCAGAGAGGAATCACGGGGAGTCCTTCTAAAGGCTCCAGAATACCAAGAGTTAAAGAGGCTCCAGACAACATGCAAGAACTGCTGAAATACACACCCAAAAGTGGATAGGAAAGGCGCCTGCGTACTCTGGGCCTGAAACATCTTAAAAGATTCATCATTCCACAGCAGACAGTGATGTTATTTTAAAACAATATGCTTTTAAGCCCCAGAACTTGCAGATAAACTCAGTGGCAGCCCTACCTCTTTATGACCTGTTGCTTTATGCACATGGAGCAAACATGCTCAGCTGGAATAACGAACACAGGCTTGGGCCCTCTGTTATTATAATAACAATAATAATCGTATCTCAGCCTGTTTGGGGCCAAAGCACTATAACTAACTTCTGTTATAAAGCTATTCTACATGTGTAATGAATATATACCTCTGAATTACGGCCTCTTAGGGAGAAGCTGGGGGAAGCAAGTGACATACTTTCCTGTTTGTGTAAGGCAGTGGACAAGTGCAAACTAACATTGGTGGCTTATTGGTGACAAACTGGAAGGCACGTGTAATTAAAGTAACACTATCTTTGCACATCCACCAATACATTGACCTCCAAGAGCATGTCACGTTGTATTCTTCACTGAACGCTGCCCACCTCTTGTGCAGAAGGTCCTTAAACCTGTCAGGCAGGAGGTCTGGGAGCCTGCCTGAACGAGGATCTCAGTATGAGGGACAGCAGTACTAAGCAAACACATCAAAAATAATGGAGGGAAATGAAATCTAGTTTATAAACATAAAAGAAGGGTTTAATTTTAATCTCATTCTACTTCCACATTTCCAAAACGGCACTGGCGTGGATTTAGCTACTCCAGATGTACGCTGATATAAACGGGAGAAGAATCAGTGACTGTTTCTTTGCAGAGTGATAATGGCTGTTCTGAAAACGACAATTTTTGACACACACGTATTTTGAGGCGGTTCCTCATCACAAGCACCAAGGAAGAATGATAAAAATATTAAATTACATGAAAACAAACAACTACAAGTTCCCTACAATGACCTCACATGTATAAAATGGGGAAATATCTTGGCAAGGCAGAAGCTACTGCTGCTGGAGAGTGGTCAAATTTTGTCATTTTCCTTCTGGAGTACGGCTTTAAAAGAACATGCTTTAGTGCACAGATGTTGTACGCTGTCTTTTAAAATCTGCACTGGTTAATTTTGGTACCTAGAGGTATCATTACACAAACTTTGCTCTTTTTTTTTC